GGGGGGGTCCAGGAAGACATCAGGGTCCAGGACTACGTAGGGTTTGGGGTTGTTTTGTTCCACACCTTTTTTCGACTGCTCGAGGTCCGACAGCCATGTCTTGTTGGGTGTAGGGTCGATATAGGACCAGGATTTACGGCCTCTAAGGTTTCGAACGTCAGGATTTAGACGCCTAATTTTAATGTGTGGAGGGCATAGGCCGAACTATCGGGGTGTGCGGGTGCTCCGGTCTGGGATTACGTGTTGAGTGAAACGGTCCAGGGTGTTCATAGTTCATCAGGGTTTAGGGGTCGGGCTTAGGGGTGGGTATTTGCATTTTGTGCGGTCAGGTTGAAAAGGGTATGTTTTGTATTGAGTGGTGCATTTTTCGCTATACGACCCGCGCAAAACTCCAAGATTATTTGCCTTCGATGGTTGTGCAGCGCTTTGGAAATTTTTACGAGGATGCGGTTTGATACTGAATAGCTGATACAGTGTATATACAGGGATAACTAGGGATAAGGTGGAACTCCTCGTAAGATTCTCGTAAACACTGCGGAAACCATTTAAATTTGATCTTGTGTCGAGGACTTCTTATGGACTCATGGGTTCGAAGTTCGAAACGCCTCAGGCATTGCAAGCCCCCNNCCCCCCCCCCCCCCCCCCCGCCTGCACGAGCTCCAAGAGATGTTGACACCTTAGTGCTTTTGCAACGATTTAAGACTCGGAGTTCAGGATTTTTTTTGGGGATCATACACGACCCCCTTTTTTGTGGCACATATTGTTATTTCCACATAACAGTTCCTAACCATAAAGAGAGATACCCTCACAGAATTGGGGGGTAGCGCATGACCCTTTAGGTAGGGTCTCGGGATCGGAAAAAAGTAACCCAATAATCTGTATGCGGAGCTCACGGTTGGCCTCGCTGCTTCCTTATGGGACTTTGAAAACTCATTAAACAACATGTCAGTGATATAGGGTTTAGGGTCTAGGGTTGATTAAACAAACAGCCGAACAACCCTGATTAAAACAACTATAGAACTAAAACCCTATGTAGCCCACTAGCTTCCGTTCAGCAACCATGAACAACATGGAACACTAAGGTTCACACTCAGCCTCGCTGAAGAACCGAGGTACCACCTCGGAGGGTGCCATTGAGGGAACTTCGGGAACTTAAGGATTCTATAGCACTCAACCAAATGGGTTAGGGTCAAGGTTTTCGTTGTCCGAACAATTACGTAATCCTCGTATACTCCCCTAAACCCTAAACCCTAAACCGTCCCAAAAAAAAACTAACTTACATAACTTACATATCTACAGTCACTATCATTGACCGATGTACCTTCGATGGTGGGTCCTTTGCGGCCTTTGGGGTCGAGCCATAAATAGAAGTCAGGTTGGGGTGTTACCCTGGGGTCTCCATCGTAGTTATAGTTCCTTTTGTGGTTGTCTTATGTTTTGGGGTTCTGGGTTTGGGACCTAAGCCCTAAACCCNNCCTAAACCCTAAACCCCCAAACGCGACATTAGTTAACAAATAAGAAACTACAAAGGACACGTTGGGACCTTATACCCGAAATTTCTAAAAAGCGAAATTGGTCAACAAATAAGAAACGACAAAGGGCACTATAGGTAGTGCCTAATGTAAGGGCCTTAATAATT